TGTGAAATAGCAAGGGAGGCATTTAGTTCACCATCTTTCCAAATTCATTTCACTTGAATTGGCTGGAGGCCATAATGATTTTGCAAGTTGTCTTTGTTTATTAGGAGGCAGATCTTCCCATTTTTCAACCCATTGTTGTTCTTTATCCATGACCTGTTTATTAAATATTCATATGATTAAAGAAGACAATTATAATTGTTTAAGGACTAAATAACATACCTTCCATGTCGGTAATCCGGGTAATCTTTTGAATTCGGGAAGCTCATTTGAAACATCCACGAGATGAAGATTTCCTACAATACGCGGGATTCATTAGTTGTAAACTTTTGGATATCGAGCAATAAAATAAAACAATTTCAGTACCATTTGATCGTAACAAAACTTCTGCAATTACTGCTTCATTTTCAATAGGATTGAGAGAACAAGTTGAATAGACTATACGGCCATGTTCTTTTAAAATTTGAGCACCACGAAACAGAATTTTAACTTGTGTCCTACGTAAATGAAAAACACTTTAAGAATCTAAAGGTAATAAAAAATATTCATCAATAAGCTACAACGATAATTTACTTGTGTAATCCAAGAGCATCGCCAATCCTCCATTTTTGCCAGATGACTGCATTCTTGCGAATAGTCCCATCGCCGCTATTAAAAATAAAAGCGAAAAAGAAATGTAGCCATTTGGATCGATATCAAGGATTTTAATAAAAATTACTTCAGTATTTAGGTACCTGCATGGAACATCGGCTAAAATTCGATCAAACGAAAGTTGTTTCTTTTTAGTTGCCCTATCACCCTAAATACAAAATAATTATTTTCAGGACGCGTCTTTTCTTTATAAAAGATTATAATTAACTGTTCAATATAAGACCTTATCTAAAATAATAGAAGGGAACTGTCCTGCATCGTGATTCGTTACAAGGACACATGGGCTTTGTAACCTTTTAACCTGGCGCACGAGCATATGAGCTCGTTTTTGGTCCGAATCATTAGCTATTATGACACCATCTAATAATAATAATAATAATAATAATAATTATGTAGTAGTAATTTGACAAACACAAATAAATGAGAAATCATTGTATATTACTTGGAACATTATTTGACTGTGTGATGTTATCAGCATGTAAGGCCTCAATCAATTGAGCAGTTTTTGAGCCAGGTGCAGCGCACATGTCTAATACATAATGGTGAGGTTTTACATCAAGCAACAGCGGTGGGATCATGCTCACAGCTTCCTGACGACTAATATGACCCTAGAGCCATATCAAAGAGATTAAATTTACAGAAAAACCTTATATTAATCATATAGATCAAATAATGCGATAAATCACATTATACATACTGCTTCTGTCTCTGAAACCAACCACTGATGGAATTTTTTAAAATCTGGATTTTTTTTTATTGCAAGCTTTGGTGCAGTATGTTGCCAAGCAAGTTCGTCTGGATACCTAACAGAATCAATATAAAATCATATAATAAATTATAAGATTTATCCGAATTATAAAATTTTTGATCTTGATTATACCATTTTAATGGAAAAGGAGTTTCAGCCTTTTCTCCCTCTTTAAATGATATTCCACATAAAACAGGTACATGTTCCAATTTCATGATGTCACGCAACTCGCAGGCATTACTATGTTCAAGGATCAATTAATATCATAGTTAGTTAGCTCTTGTTATAGATAGGAAACAAGAGCTTATTCGCGATAATAAATAAAATAATGTTCAGATTTATTTGATCGATTAGAAGAATGAAATTCCCATAGGTCTGTGAACGAAGATTAATGTAAAGACTATGAATTACTTTTTTGTGCCGCATATTCGAAATGTAGTAGGAAGTATAATGCGTAGTTGCTCCAAAAATTTCACC